AAAAAGTGTAACCGCCAAACCGCCCACAACTGCCCGCACATTTGCAAACCCTATCGCACCAACCGCAAACGCACGCTGGCGAGTTGCGAGTTGACTTTTTTTCAAACTGATAGATACGGGGGTCAAAACCGAACGCAAACCGCACAAAACCCGAGTTACGACACCCTTAGTCATTTTCAGTAAAGTTGAAAGTTTGTAATTTTTTTCACATTTTTATTTTGTTTAATTTTGTTAATAGGTGTTACAATTATGACTAAATTTATAAATGAATTTGACTTACTTAAAAATGAAATTTCAAAATTTGGATTGTTACTTAAATTGTGCACTGTAATTGGGAATGAGATCAATATTCATCCTTTAAATTTTTCATCTTTTATAAATTTATAAAATAAAATTTCAATTAAATTATTCTTCAAAATTTATTACTACAATTAGAATGAGATCCATTCACATTGTCATAACGATGTGACATAATATTATTGCGTCCAATAATTTGTTTTAAATATAATGTGTTCAAATTAAATCGCCTTATTAATTTTTTTCTTTTTGTTTTAAAAATTTTATAAAAAAAATTTATCATTCAACTATAACTGAACATATATTTTTTAAATATAACTTCTTTTTTTTTTTTTTTAACAAAAGAAACAAAAACACAACTTTTTTAGTACTTGCCAAACATGGTAGATTTTGTTAGATTTTTTTTTTTAATCTCAATTGTCAATTAAAAAAGTTAAAATATAGAATAAAGATATCTTGGTTCAATTGTATAAAAGTTACTTTTTGCTAAAATAAATTAGAAAAGAAACATTAATTTTTTTGTTTATTAAAAGTGATAGTCATTAAACTTTTTTTTATTTTAAAAAAAAGGGTTAAATTGATAATTTATTGTTCATCTAGAAATTATTTTCAGATTAAATGAAAATACCAATTTAAATTTTCTTCATACTTTTTTATTCAAATACTTTTATTTGTAAGAAATTTGTCTTTCATTTCTATTTAATTATTTTATTGTAATTTTTTTTAAATTAAAAAAGATTTCTAAAAAACATATTTAAATTATTTATGTATTATAAAAAGTAAATTTTTTAATATCAACTATGATAATTGGGAAATGCTAAAATAAGATATTATTTTTTTACTTTTTACCGAAAACTATACAGAAAGAGTAGAGAATGTGATGTGACCTAAAAAAAGATAATTAAATTAATATTTTTTTATTTACCGAAAAGATGGTGTTAGAGAAACGAATAGAGATTATGATAATGATCCAAAAAAATTAAAAAGTGAAGCTAATATGACATTTCCCAAACAACCCGTAATTTGATTGATTCCCTTTTTTATAAAGGTGTTATTTTTAATATTTTCAAGGAAAAATTCTATTGAAATCTTAAGTATAATTGCTTTTTCTTTTTCATAATTTTAATTTTAATTATTTTAAATTATTATTTAAAAAAATTAGCAAATAATTTATATATTACCAACCCGCTCAACAATACCGTTCTTGCCTTTGGTTAATGGTTCACCAATTTTCCCGAAAAATTGAATCACTACTTCCCCAAGCCCACAAGATTGTGGTGCTAACTGAGCATCCCCTGAAGTCTCTATTGCAACATGGTGATTTGATAGGTAGAATAACTAGGTGTGCAGTGGTACTAGGCCAATACGACTCAGAATTCAGGCCTAGAATAGCGATCAAGAGTCAAGTTTTGGCCAACTTTGTGGCCAAATTTACCCTAGGTAGCACCCCACATCGGGCTTCGGTGTGCTGCATCCTCGGTTGTCCAGGCGAGCCAAAGAAAACCCAACTGGGGCCCAAGAACCCTACTCCAACAAAACAAAAGAAACCAAAGAAACCAAAGCCCTGTGACATCTACATCAGTGACTCCTTCTGCCTGTTTGTTAATGAAAGCTCAAACAGTCAAGGAGCGGGGGCAGGAGTAGTGTTAGTATCGCCACATGGGCGAATGATAGAGTAGTTTATTTGTTTGGCGTTTAAGTCCTCAAACAATGAAGCAGAGTATGAGGCACTGATTGCAGGGTTGAAGTTAGTAGCAACAATGGAAGTTGAAAAGGTGGTAGTCTTCTATGACTCCAACTTATTGTGAATCAGGTAACATGCGAGTATGCAGCCCGAGATGAACGAATGATAGCCTATGTCAAAGAGGTTGTTAGACTACTAGCCTTGTTTTAGGACTGCCGACTACAGCAGGTTAGCCGAGATGATAATAGTCAAGCCGATGCCTTGGCTAACCTGGCTAGTGCAATGAAATCAGGGGAGGCAAGGACAATAATGGTTGATTATTTGTCTAGGCCAAATGTAGAACCACTGATCACAGAGTACGAAGCAATGTGTGTATAAAGGGGATCGAGCTGGATGGATGTAATAGTAATGTTCCTAAGAAATGGCAAGCTGCCGGATAACCAAAAGAGGTGCATAAGACCAGAGTGAAGTCGGCCAGGTTCTGCTTGTCCGCAGAAGGCCATCTCTACAAAAGATCCTTCACTGGGCCCGTTCTAAGATGTGTGAATCCATCCCAGGTTGAGGATTTCTTGTATGAAATATCTGAAGAAGTATGTGGAAGCCATGTTAGGAGCAAATCACTTACCCATAGTGCCATATCCCAGGGGTACTAGTCGCCCTACATACAGAAGGATGTGGAAGCCTATGTCAAGAAATGTGAGAAGCGTCAAAGGTTTGTACCTTTGATATATCAGCCAGCAACAGATCTGAACCCAATGTCTAGTCCTTGGCCGCTTACTCAGTGAGGCATGGACCTAGTGGGACAATTGCCCTAGGCAACTGGACGGAGAAAGTTCTTGCTAGTGGCAACTGACTTTTTTACAAAGTGGGTAGAGGCAGAACCCTTGGCCAAAATCTGAGATATTGATGTGGAGAATTTCATCTTGAAGAACATAATCACCAGGTTTGGGATTCTAAGAGTCATTGTGGCAGACAATGGCACCCAATTTGATAGTAAATTGATCCAGAGCTTTTGTGCCAAGTACAAAATTAAGAATTATTACTTTACTCTAAGTTTCTCCCAAAGTAATGGTCAGGCAGAAGCATCCAACAAGACCATCTTGGATGAGATCAAGAAGAGGTTGGAAACAACAAAGGGAAAATGGTGGAAGAGTTACCTAATGTACTTTGGGCATATCGGACTATGCCGAGGAGATCAACTAGGGAGTCTCCTTTTGCCATGGCATATGGCACTGAAGCAGTTATCCCACTGAAGATCGGCATCCCTGGAATTAGAACCCAGGGAGTGGAAGATGGGACCAATGAGGCATTCCTGGCCTGAGATCTGGATCTTTTGGAAGAAAGAAGAGAAAGAGCGGCAATTCGGCTGGGGCATGCTAGCAGCAGCTAGCTAGGGCTTACAATAAGAAGGTCAACCCAAGAGAATTCAAGATTGGAGATCTCGTCCTAAGGAAAGTTATCAGCAATAAGAAAGATTCCAAGGAGGGCAAGCTTGGGCCAAACTGGGAGGGACCTTATAGAATCATCTTGATTGTCGATAATGGAGCATATTGGCTAGAAGACAGTGATGGCAAGGCATTGCCATGACCCTGGAACACTTATAATTTGAAGGTTTTCTTTCATTAGCTTTTTGGGATTTGTGTAATTAGCCGAAGTTTTAATAAAACACTAGCTTGGTTTTGTTTTCATTACTATTTGTGTGATAGGACCGAAGTAGTCTTATGACGATGTTTCCGATTGAAGCATGATGAATAACTTAGACTTATCATATGGTAGAGTTGAATTATACTTGCTATATGATAGAGTTGAACTAAGTTAGCGATGTTTTCGATTGAAACATGACGAATAACTTGGACTTATCATATAGTAAAGTTAAATTATACTTGTCATATGATAGAGTTGAACTAAGTTTGCGATATTTCCGATTAAAACATGATGAGTAACTTAGACTTATCAAATTGTAGACTTGAATTATACTTGCCATATGATAGAGTTGAACTAAGTTGGCGATGTTTCCGAATGAAACATGACGGGTAACTTAGACTTGCCACTACGGCAGAGTTAAACTAAGTTTGATCTAGTTAGATTAATAGAGAGACTGAGGTCAAAAGACTCAGCTAAACTGTGTTCGAGTCAGGCCTCGACAAGAATTGGAGTTGCTTACTTAAAGTGAATATAAGTGGTACTCAAATTCACATTAGAAGGCAGGAAGTAGGAATAGGCTTGACACTTGTTAAAATTTTTTGAAAGAATTTATAAGTTGGAATCAGCCGAGGTAAAATCTTGAGGGATTGCTTGAGATATTTGTCACCCAGGATAACCAAACAGTTTGTCAAAGCTTGGAAGGGTTAAAAGAATGAAGTATAGATAAAAGACAACAAGTACAAGTGATGGAAGAACACTTGTAAAAATGTTTGAATCAAATATTTTTAAGTGTTGTTTGGTCAAGATCACAATAAAAGGTGAACTCCGAGCTAATTTGATCCAAGGTAACCAACTAAGAGTGGATCCGAGGTAATCCTTGTCCAAGGTGTTCTAAGCCGAAGTAATCACTCAAAGAAAGTTGTGGAATTGCAAAAATATTCTAAGTATGGAAGCATACAAAGACAGTGAAAATTTAAAGAAACAAGTACACATTCAGTACTCAGAAGAAGAGAAGGCATTCATGTAAAGGAAACTTGTTCCACAACAAAAAGGCACTTCGGCCTGGCATAAGAGATTACTTGTCCAAGTTACAAAGAGAAGTTACAATTGAAAGAGAAAAGTTTAGAGTAAAGAAAAAATCCTAAGTGCTGGAAACATTGGCATTTATCTCAGATTGCTTAACCTCGGCTGTTGGTGTTATGTCGGCCTCGGTTAGCAGTAAGACTTCCTTCTTTGCTACTATCTCAGCGTCAATTTTGAGCAATGTAGCATCGACGCTTTTCTCGGTTGTATGGACTTTGGTCTCAAATGTCGTCTTCTTAGGAGAGGCACTTTTGGAGACCTCATCCTCATCATCTTAAGTGAAGTCCAGGACTTGCTCATTCAAAGTGAGGGACATGGCCCCAGCAGCAACCTCCCCCTCTTTATTGGCATCATCAGCCTCGGTGTCCTCCTTTTCGACTTCATTCTCGAAGTCTTTTGAAGAAGGAGGGAATAACACACTGAGCTGGTTGATGTCTCTAAATGGGGAGTCCATGGAGACAGACAACTTGTTGAGCGTCGCTGTCCAACTGAGATAATAACCTCGGTTGTAAGCTAGATTGACTTGCTCTTTGTACTGATCGCGGATGGCGACTTAGCCTTCTTCAAAAGCCTTTTCGTTGGCCGCTTGACCTCGGCCTCTTTTGAGTCAACGGCGTCCTTGAGCTTGGCCTCTAACTTTGTCGCCTTGGCCTTGGCAACCTCAGCAGCAGCATCAGCAACTCCGACTTTAGTCTCAGCCTTGGTTTGAGCGATGTTGGCTTGATCCAACAGACTTCGGTTGCTGGCCTCGGCATGGTTGAGTGAGGAAAGGAGTTTGGTAGCTTCTTGAGTTTTCTTTACTAACTCCTTCCTCATCATCTCGGTCTTGACCGCTTATAAGTGTGCATGCTGGATAACTTGTAGTGAGTGAAACAGATTAGTAAAAAATTATTTTGGCTAAGTATTGGAAACCTTAAAAAGATACAACAAGAGACATACCAAGACTGAGTGCTGCATCATTAAGCCGAAGTTCTCGTACTCATGGATATTGGCTATGTGGTTCATATCTTCTGGTAGAAGTACAGCCGTTGACAGGGCGGCGCCGACCTCGACGCTCTCGATCGCACTGTTGCCGGCTGTTAAAAGTCTGCCCCCCATCTTGACTTCGAGCGCCGGATCATATTGTGAGAGAAGTTGTTGCTAGGTGGTAAGGCGCCAAGTGTTGCAGCCTCGGCTGGCCTCTTTTCGGTGGTAGTTGAACTCTTCTTGATCTTGGCCAGCTTGGAGATCGGCACAATGTCCTTAGAGTCAATCTGAGTCACTATTGCCTTGGCCTTAATCTTCTTCACTCTCTTTGCCTTTGGTTTGGACTGGGATGGAGAAGAGGGGGACTACACAGTCACAACCCCACGAATGTTGGCGAGAAGATCTTCGACTACGGCTGGTTTACGGCCTATCTCATCAGCTGTTGCAGCGACGATAACCTTGGTGCCAAAACGAATTGTCGGAAGGGTAATAGGCAGATTTGAGAGGTCGACCTCTGAGAACTCAAGACCTCGGCGTCTTCTACTTCGAGTTTTGCCAATAGGGACATTGGCAGAAGCTTGGCGTTGGTGCTAGCGCTGGGCTGAAGGAATTAATTGGGGGGCAAAAGTTGATGGTTGGTCTGTAGGATCAGATGTGGAGGCCTGATCTGGCCTTAGCAACGAGGTGACTGGTAGAGTTGTAGCGGATGAAAGGGACTTGCTCTTGCGAAGGACGTTGGACAGAGGGCTCTTGTATATCGAGATGTAGTTGATGAGGATAGGAGCCTTGCAGACTTCAATTGGTAAGCCGAGAAGGTGAACCAAGTCTTTGCTGGGTACGTAGAACTGGCAAAAAAAAAATTCTAGCTGAGGAAGGGCTGCAAAGACAAGGAGAAAACATCATAATAGATTAACAGAAAAATGACTAAGTAAAGTAGTAGAGATGGGACTTTGGAGGGGAACTAAGTCCTTACCCTTGTCATCCCTAAAAACTTCAAGGCGTAAGGAGAAGAGGTAGAGCTCATCGTCTGGAACAAACTCCCAATTGCCTGAGACAATCAGGTTGTCTATCGCTTCTTTATTTGAGTCTAGAATGTCGGCTATCAGTTTGTATTGGGTAAATCTCGGTTTAAGGTAGTACGTGTAGCCAGAGTTGGTTTTAAGGCCACACATTGTGTAGCAGTACTGGATGTCGGATAGGGTTATTCTACCAAAATAAAAGAAAGCTTTTGAAAAATAAAAGGACATTCCGAAGCTAGTTTTATAACTACATAACAAAATAAAATCAAAAGCAAAGTAAAATGAAGTCAGCATCGCTGTCAATAGCCCACCTTCACTTTCTTCCTCCTTAATTGTAGAGGAGGCACATCGTTGTCATCACTGAGGCTGCTCGACTGCAGGTCCATCTTCTCTCCCTCATTTTCAGGGGTCGTGGACCCATCAAAAGACTCCTTGGAAGGCGAGCACTGCCTCACCCGACCTCTCCCTCTATCAGCACCTTCTTGGCCTCTCACTGGGTCCCGTCTCTATCTTCTGGCTATGGAAGGTCCTGCAAGCACTATTGACGTCGGCTCAAGCTGAAAAGGATATCAGATATCAAATAGAGTAACCCAAAGTGTATAGCATGGCAATGATAGTAAGCTACACACAGAATGTACCTCAAGCTCAAGCTCAAGCTCAAGCTCAAGCCTACTTCAAGCCAGAATGGCGAACAAAGTGCTATCCCTAAAAACTAGTCCCTAACAGAGGCGTCTTGGCTATGTTTACAATGAGTTCCTAGGAGAACAACTGCGACGGTGGAAACTAGAGTTCGAATGGCGATGCCTAGAACACAAAGGTTTGGAATTTCCGAGACTAAAGTATTGTTTAAATACCCAGGGGGTATCCCCGGCTTGAAATCTATATGGCAGCCCCATAGATTGAGATAGCATGTATGCGCCTCAATTCTAGATACTGAACCAACCTAGTTTGTCACCCCGTTGGAGAATAAGGAAAGTTGTGAATATGATCAGGAAGAAAAACGGCATCTGTGGCTTCTACACGAAGAACCCTTGTCAGCGTTTGAGGGCCTTTGAATTGTCAGTTGAAGGTAAGAGTTCGAAGAACACAAGGAGGAGATCTCTGTTTTAGAGTGCGGTTCATCACCACTTACCCCATGAGCTCTGCATATGTACGCGCTTATTCTGCAAGAATTGTGGTATGAGGGTTTCCGCACCTTTTCTGTGTCCCTAATTCTGTTTTGTGTCCTTGGATTTCAAAATTGAAGGGATTGTTCATTATTGAGTTCAGAATGCCTCTATGGAAGCTCAGAATTGCATTTTTGATGCACGGTGTTCGTCACTCATTAACATGAGCAAGGTGTATCCTTTTTAACATATTGTAACTTTTTCGAGAGGTAAATCGGAAGTTGTTCTTACATTAGTTTTGATTAATATGCTTTTGTTATTGTATAAAATATGTGTTTCTTTGTTGTTGCATGGAACGTGCATTCCACTTATACTGTCGCATAGAACATGCTCTTACTTTAGCTGCATAGAATGTGCTTCTGCTCTTGCATTATGCATAGAACATGCTTATTGCTTTCCCTTTTGAATCATGCATGGAATATATGCATTTGCCTTTGAATCATACATAGAATATGCTCTCAAATTGTTTGGTTCGCATAGAACATGCCATTATATCTTAGTTATTATCATGCATAGAATATGCATTTCCCATTCGTTACACATGCATAAAATATGCGCTCCTCCATTCTTGAATAGAATATGCACTTCTCTATTGTTGCATAGAACATGCTTTCACGCAAAGAAAATGCACTGTCATTTCATAGGACGCTTTTGTATGTACGGTTCATTCAGCGGAACCAGCACAGACAAACGATATTGTATGTACGGTTCATTAAGAGGAGTTCCAGGTTAAATCATTTGTGCCTTTTGAATCATATCATTTTACTCTCCTTTGTCTCGAGTGTAACGCGTTAGTATAAACCCTTCGGTTACCGCCCTTTGGTTAAAAACATTTGAGTGCGTCCTGATGTTCATACCATCCTTAGATTATCGTCCTTCGGTTAAACATTCGGGTGCATCCCGGTGTTCACGCCATCCTCGTTTTCTTCCGCGTGCAACGCGTTAGGATCTTGTTTGACATCTCAGTGCGCCCGATGATTTTGTTGCTCTCCTTTTGGTTAAAAGCATTTGGGTTCGTCCTGATGTTTACACCACTCCTTTTGGTTAGAAGTATTTAGGTGCGTCCCGGTGTTTACACCACTCCTTTTGGTTAAAAACATTTGGGTGCGTCCCGGTGTTTACACCACTCCTTTTGGTTAAAAACATTTGGGTGCGTCCCGGTGTTTACACCACTCCTCTTGGTAAAGAGCATTCGGGTGCGTCTCGGTGTTCACACCTCCCTCTGGTTAAAAACATTCGGGTGTGTCCCGGTGTTTAAACCATTTTCCCCTCGTGCGTGAGACGCATTGGGATTTTTTGTTTTGGTTATGAGCATTCGGGTGTGTCCCGGTGTTCACACATTCTTCTTGGTTAAGAGCATTCGAGTGTGTCCCAGTGTTCACACCACCCTTTTCCTTCTCATGTGTGCAGCACATTAAGGTTTTGGTTGAGACCTCGGGTGCGCCCGTTGGTTACTCTTCGCTTTTCCTACGCGTCGCGTAGTTAAGTTTGCATAATTTTCTTACATCCTTTCTGTATGAAATGTGGTTTGGTTCGTAATTTCCACGTGTGCCGTGTTTACTTACTTTTGTGCTTGAGGTTGATATACCTTGTTTCGAGATGGTTAAATATGGCAATTTCATCGCACAGCCTCATTGCATGATCATAAGTTATGTTCTTGTATCATACATATCAATTGCATTCTTGCCCCATAACTACGCTGGTTTGATTCCTTACAAAGGGATATGTAGGCAGCCTGCGGGCGCAACCATTTTAATATTTTACGTCTTGCTTTCTAGTCCAAGTCTTGCAGCCTTGTCAAAATGGGTCGTCTCTGGGCTTTTACATTCACTCCCGTCATTTTTATGACTTTGAGCTCTATCAAAGAGGAGCAATTATAGACACCCCATTTTTGACTATCTGCAAGACTCAGACGCTTGGTTTAATACACTTAATGATGAAAACTGAATTGTGAATTCGCAACGATTTGGAATCAGTCAGGCTTCCGAATAACCTCACATTTTCAACATTTACCTTGTTTGAACCCTTAGGTTTCATTTTTTGACCATTTTTCACCCTGAGCTGAGTTTGAACCCAAAAAACAGGGGAGGCCATCGAGGCTCGGCTGTGGCTATGAACGGTCGGCCGGCCTTTGATGGCGATACGCACTGTTCTGGGCGAGAGGCCGCCAGAGCTCCATTTTTTAAGATATTTGTCACCTTTTTAGCTCAAATTCTATAAAACCGAAGCTCTGGAATTCTTTTGAGGGTTGAAAAAATATCAAGAAGAGATATATACACCTTGAGAGCCTTGACTTCTCCTCC